CACTGCGGCTGCTGGCCGCTCACGCTGGCTGGCTACATACGGTAGCCCGTGGCAACCCACTGCCACAGGGGCTGCAGCCTACACCGTCGCCAGTGACTCACAGCAGCCCAGCTCCAGGTTGAGCTGTTGTTCAGCATCTTAGCTGTGGAGGTCAGTGTCACTGGCCCTCATATGTGGGATCCGAACCGGGGCCCTCTGGCGTCCCAAGCCAGTTCTTAACCTTCGTGCCACTCGGCTGGCCCCAGAATAGTTTTTAATGCATAAAGTTTCCTGTCAAGGTACTCACAGATACTTTATTTATTTTAAGACATCTGGGACCTAAATGTTAGTCTTCAATTTTTTTTTCTTTTCTAAAAGCCTAGAGTCCAAGGAGATATAAGGCAAATTTTTGCTCCTAAAACTTTAATGGCTACATCACAGATAAAATATTTATTTTATTAAAGAAAGACCTTGAGTTTTACCTCAAGAATTTACAAGAGAAGAAAGACAAGTAAAAAACAACATCCCAAAGATACTGGGAGAGTGATTGTTGACAAAAACTAAAAAAGACAGCATTTGCCAGTTCTCTGTATTGTTTCCATTTCTGCTATGTTTTAATTAGGGATGGTGAAAAAAAATGAGAAAAAATATTTAAAAAATTTTTTTAATAAAATAATAACAAAAAACATTTTTTAAAACAGAATAAAAAATAAAAATCTCCTGAAAAACTAAACACACCAAAATGAACACTGATAAGTGATCATCTCTGCATGGTGGGATTATAAATTTTCTTTTCCTTTCTGCCTACATAAACTTCCTAAAAAATAATGAATACATATTCAAATGATAAAAGTTGTAACACTTCAAATCATAAAGAAGTATGTAGAATATTTTTAAAAGTCTGCTTTCATCTTTCTCCTACCATCTTAGCCCCTGCTCCTAAGTAAACATTGTTAAGAGGTTGTATATATTTCTGGATCTTTTCCTGTGGGTTTATCTGCTAAGAGAGAGTGAGGGGGGAAAAAGTAAAAAGGCTAATATAGTTTGTTTAAAAATATGTAAAAATGGGATCAGAAGTAGCACCTCAGCTTGGAGTGCCAGAGATAGGAAAATGCTGATGCTCTGAAAGAGGGGATGGATAGAATGATTACTCCAGCGGCCAAGATCTGGGCACCCTTCTTTAGGAATATTATACACAAACCACCAAGGTACAGTCCCAGCCTCATCTCTTGATCTTTTCCTTATAGGTCTGTGGGTCAACAGAGCAGTTCCAAGTTAAAACTGCTGAATTCTAACTCACATTTCTGTGTTTCTTTGAACTCTCTTCCGGATGCATTTTCTTCCCCTTTACCTTGGTGAATTGCTATAAGCCATGGTTCCCACCTTACAGCTTTTTCTCACTATCACTTGCTTTGATCATTTAAGGTATGGGGTTCTCTCAAGCTATCCCCTCAGGTTTAGAACCTGCATCAAATCATGTGCTGTCTTTCTCTGGTGACTTGGACCTTTCTAAATTCTCCTAAGAGGGGAATTATAAGGAAATGCAAGGAGAGCTATTTCATAAAGACTAAATTTTTTAAAATAGCCATAACATACAATGGTGAGTGATGGGTACACATTGAGAAAATCCAGTGGGGTTCCAAAGGTGGTAATCTCTGTCTGTAGGAGTTTGCAGAGGTTTATATTTTTCTTTATTTTCATTATTTGGTGATAAGGACAATTTAAAAGCAATTCTACAATTTTCTAAAAGAAAAGTTTTATATGTCAAATAGCCAAATAATTCTTCAAGTGATTGATTTGCCTCAAGCTGAGAAATAGCTTCCTTCAGCCCTTTCACCAACATTGTCTGGGGTGAGGCTGGTCCTCTGCCTGGGAGTCTTGTGGTTTCCAGCCTCCTTCCATTTGGCCAGGCCATGGTAGGTGACAGTTGGCTCAGTTGCCACATTCCCTAGTGTTTAGAAGGGCATGACATGGTGAACAGCAGGAGGGAAATACCTCTTCTTAGGGTCTGAGCTGGTGCTGTTTCACCATCTACTCCTCCACGCCCATCCCACCTCCAAAGCCTTCCCCAACACACACTAATATGGAGTTTCAGGAAAATGTCAACTGATACTCAGCAAAATGGATTTTAGCAAATTATTTTTCCAACAGACTAGTCAGCTCCTGTTCTTTATTCACCCTTTCCAACACCTTGAGTAATCACTAACAATTTAGGGCATGACTTTCCAGACCTGCTTTTGTGCATGATATAAATATATAATGCATGTGCTTTATTTGGTTTGGGCTTTTTAATGACTTATAATACATATTTTCTGGAAATTACTTGTTTCAGCAATATAGCATGGGTATTCTTCTATGTCAGTATGCAATATCTTATTCATTACTCACATTGCGAGTTTTAATTTCCGTTGCACAATTACACTTAATAAGCCTAGTTAAGCTCCAATATTGCTCATCTTTGATCGATCCCTTCTTCTGAAATGGGGAACTAAGGCATGCGTCCCAGGAGTATTACACTGGACCATCAGCTAGCAAACTTTTCACAAAATAGTTCTGTTGAATGACATGGAACAGCAAGTCCTTTATGATTTAACTCCATGGTTCTCAACCTTGGGTATACATCGGGACTACCTGGAGGATTTTTTTTAAAACAACACTGAAAACTTATGCCCATGCAAAAACCTGCACATATTTGTATCAGCTTTTTTCATAATTGCCAAAATTTGGAGCTGACCATTATGTCCTTCAGTAGGTAAGTGGATAGACTGATATACCCAGACAATGGGATATTTACTATTCAACGCTAAAAAGAAATGTGCTATGAAGTCATGAAAAGACATGGAGGAACCATAAATGCATATTACTAAGTGAAAAAAGCCAATCTGAGAAAGCTACATACTGTATGAGTCCAATTATATGACATTCTAGATAAGGCAAAACTATGGAGACAGTAAAAAGATCAGAGGTTGCCAGGGGTTGGGGGCAGGGATGTTTAGGGCAATGAAATACTCTTTATACCATAATACATTTCTCCAAACCATAGAACATGCAACACACCAAGAGGTAAGCATAGTATGAACTCTGGACTTTGGTGATGATATAGCAATGTAGGTTCATCAGCTGTAACAAATTTACCACTCTGGTAGGGGATGTTGATAATGGGGAAGGCTATGATTAGTGGGGTAGGGAATACATGGGAAATCTCTGCACCTTCCTCTCAATTTTGCTGTGAACCTAAAACTGCTCTAAAAACATAAGGTCTTAATTTTTAAAAATAATAATACAGATGCCTGGGCTCCATATTTAGAGACTATGACTCAGTTCATCTGGATTGGAGTCTTGAAAGCTTTTTTTTTTTTTTTTAAAGACTTTATTTTCTGAGCTGGTATTTTAAAATACGTTCCACAGGTGATTCTAATGTGCATCCAGGGTGGATAGTTACTTGTCTAAGCACCCCTCTATCTTCTCAGCTAAGTTCCTACAAATCTTCCCCCAGGTATTCTTGCTCTGCTGTTTGGAATTAACCACACCTGTCATATCTCTATACTTCTCAAAATTTGCCCACCTGCCTGAAAATGCCAGGCCCCTTACCACTACCCATCAAGTCTCAGCTCAAGCAAATGGTCTCCCTAACACCTATCTACATTTTTTTGTTGTTCCCTGAACACCTTTTCCTATCACCTAGTTCTTCGGGCATACCTATGCTATACTCTATCAGGATATATTTTAATTGTTCAGATGCCTGTCTGCCCCTCCACTAAACTGAGCAATTTAAGAGCAGTGTTGTTTTATTCATCTTGTCAGTACCTAGCACTAACTCAAATGCAGTCAAATAAACAAATGCACAAAGCTAGTGATCATGTCTAAACTATGTCTTGAAATTTAAAAATCTGGTATTTTTCATTCAAAGTATATATACTGCTTGCTAAAATATGAAATCCTCCAGATAATTTTGCTCACTTTTTGAGTCTGCACATTCCTCATGTCTTGGCCTAGGGAACAGAACTCTAGCTAAAAGATGGAAGCCTGGGCTTCCAGCAGACAGCCGTGTGTCACCCTGACTAACTAACTTAACTTCTCTGGGATCCAGTTCCTCATCTGTAAAATGCAGATCACTGAGGCCCCTTCCACTGAGAGCCAAACCCTACATACCAGGGGTTTACACTCTTCTTCAAGTGACACTTGAAGACTTTTTCCCTGTTTGAAAACAAAGGGGTAAGAGAGGGAGAGATATATAAGAAACTGAAAACACTGAGGTTTTCCACAATTTTAATTAGCTGTATTTAGGCAAAAACATCAAAATACACATAATATAGATGTAAGAGGTAAAGATGAATTTTTATCAAAATGCTTTCATTCACAAATTTCCAATAATTCTGGCAATATTCTTTTAAAAGTTTTCCCCAAAATTCTAAGTAAAGCATACAAACTGGAGGTTAACCCAAAACATGCATAACTATCTTATTATCCAGTTTTGCATGCAGAAGACTAAAGAGTTCAGATTTGACCAAGATGTTGTTAAATATGAGAATTCTCTCCTCCTCACCTCTAAACTTCCAGCCACCTCCTACAGCTACCTGCCCAATTAGGTCAAATATGAAAGTGTAGATTCCCAAAAGTAGAATTATAAAGAAGATATTTGTGTTAACATCAATATAGCTCTACAATAGGGCTGCATTAAAAAAAAACGTGACAGCATACAAGTATTAAAATGAAGGAAAACAAAATTGAGAATTAGTTAACTCCATATGAGACAGCTTCAAATCTGAAAAGAAAAAAAAGTCTTATTAGCAAATATACTTATTTGAATTACAGATCGCACCACCCAACTTGTCTAACTTCTGCTGTGTATATCACCATTTGCAAAAGAAGTAGCTGCAGACAATTTCCCAGACCTATTACCAAGAGCATATCCCATTAGTTTATCCCATTGATTCTCCCACAACCTTAGAGGGAAGAATGCTGGTATTAGAGTTTAGATCCTGGCTCTATCATTTAATAACTGTGTGACTCTGGACAGGTCACCCAACTTCTCTGATGCTCTCTCAAATTAATTTCCCTGTCCTAGAATATAACAGGAGATTTGAATAGGTTTTCAGTGCTAAGCTGCCCTATGGAATAGAATTTCATTGAAAAGTTGGATTTTCTACCTCTGGATTCCATTCAAAGTCGCAGAGAAGTTCAAGTCCTCCCTGTTTCATGCTGCCAGAACTCCTTGTAGATATATCTATTATAGTATCTTTACATTGCATAAAAACGTTTCTATTTCTCACCTTATTGGACTGGGAGCCTCTAGAAGGCAAACATAGTGCCCAAACACGAAGGCTCAACAAGAGATCAAAGGAGTGGGACATCGGCAGAACCCTGTCACTCCTCTCTTCTGACTGAATGATAAAGCTATTGCTAAGCAAAAGAAGACAACGGTTCATTTTTGAAGGCCCAGAGATGCCCAATGTAAAAATGGTAGAAGAAAGATCAAACCCATGCAGGTGGTATGCGTAACCAGCTGCCTTTATCCTGTCACACCACACTGGCAGCTCTTCTGACTTCATTTAGAGGGCCAGTGATGCTGGCAGAGCCACAACTGGACCACACACCTTCCTCATGCCATTCCACAGGAGAAGGGAGTGTGACCTCACAGGATTCTTCTCTGCCTGCTGATATGCTATCCTGATTAATGTCCTCCAGATACTGAGGGTTATCATACTAGAGCTGTCTGGAAATAGTCCCCAGGATAGTGAAGCAAAACAGCATTTTCTTAAGGTTAGAAACCCACCTCCATGACACTGGTTAGTTGAATTGATCTATGAAAAAGAAAATGGGGAAAGAAGAAGGAAAACAGTCAGTTTTATTTTTTAAATACTATATATTAACAAATGTCTAAAACTGTCATAAATAAAGCTGGTAGAAGAGCCTGCCATCCCTAACCACGAATACCTTGTTTAAAACTACCCAGTAGGACCCAACCCTGTCTGCTAGCCTCAGATACCAACCCAGCCAAAGAGTACTAGAGGAGTCCAGGCTTGTAGGGCGCTAGGGTAGCAGAACTTACAAAGGCCTGTGCCTCTATAAGACTCTATCCTTGGTCCTAAGAATCCATGAGGCTGTCAGAAAAGCCCAAGGAAGCCAGTAGGTAAGAAATGCTAGGAGTGTGTGTGATTTGTGCAAGTACTGTTGTGGTCCTTGCTCTTGCCACAAGAAAATTACCATTTCTGGGACCATGCTGTGCTGAGGTCTCTCACAAGGTGTCACTAATCAGAGCTTTAATAACATTCTCTGATTATGCCAGTATGTGTATTTTCTTTTTAAACACCAAAGCAGCTCTACGCTGTGGTTATACTCAGGTACTGTCAGCAGCTAAGGAAAGAACTTGAAAACTTACCCCACTTAACTTTCTTGGGCACAGGGAGACTACTGTGGTTCACAACGCAGGTGTACTCATCTTCTGCACTGGGAATGAAATCTGCATGGACCAGAAGATAGAAAGACCAGTCGTTGCTGAAAGACAGATCCGACTGCTCCACTTTCATCTTCTGCCCGTTCTTCAGCAGCTCAATTTCAATCTGGGGTGGATGGAACCCATACACATAGCAGTTCAGGAAATTTGGCTTTCCATTTTCTGCTGGATGCCGTGAGTAAACCTGAATCTTCGGAACACCTGAGGAACATTAGGGAAAGACAAAAGAAAATTGCAGAATATTTCAGTTGGGGCTACCTTGTTCTAAAGCTCTATCAGGCACCAAGTGTTTAAATTTGATCATACGTTTCTCCCAATTCCATTTCCACTCTGGCCAAATGAACTTCCACTTTTCCAAAAGGCTACCTCCATTTTGAGGGATGAACCATGACTTAGTATCTTTCCCACATTAATTCCCTCTACACGTCCTTTTGGCTTTTTCTAGCAGATTTCTAGTAGTATCATCTTCCGTCATAGGAGATTGTGCCGAATCTTTAAGAGTCTTTCTGTGGAGGCTCTCAGGAACTTTTTATGACTTCTCAGCTCCCATAGAATTCCTTAACACACCACTCAAAAGTCTACATGATTTGGCCCAACCTACTTTTCAAACTTCATTTTTCACTTCACACCCCCTCCATAGTAGCCACATCAAAAAATTCATGTTACTGTACCCTGTTTCAGCCCCATCAATTTTTTTTTTAGGATTACTCCTTTCCTTTTTGGTTCCTGCTCCTGCCTAGATCGACACCCATCTGACTTCTCTATATTTAGTATCTAGTACAGAGCCTGGCACCCAGCTGTTGCTCTGTAAGTAACAGATGTCATTATTACCGCCTTGCTCGGGTTCCTAAGAGAGTTAACTCAACGTATGTTCCTACATAACACAACCTCTTCGTCCTGCTCAGAGTTTATACGCCAAACCCCTATCTGATTTTGTACCTGATTTCATGAGTTACAAAACTGAAATACCTACAAAACCTGGCAAAATAGCTTAAATGAGTGAGTTGGGCTGGGTCAGAACCATAGAAAAGGGTGAGGACTCTGGCAAATGGGAGACAACATACTTGTCATGATGACCAAGTAGAGTAATGCATGAAAATGGGATTTGCATTTTTAAATAGCACCCTCAAATGATTCCTGTAATTAGCCAGGTTGGGAATACATTAAATAATGCTACAGAACAGTGGTTTCCAAAATGGGATGGCATGACTAGACCATTCCTGGGGATGTAGGAAGAAAATATCAACTCTATATTTTTCATCCCAAATGAAGTGCTACTGCTCTTCAATATACTAATACATGTGTATAGTTCACTTTAAAATACATATACATTCAGGGTACATGATGACTACAGGGCCGCTGCCCCTCCATGTCGAGGAGGTGGTCCGGAGGAGGAGGAGGACCGGGCCACTCTTACCAGGTGTATCTGTCTAGAAACACCCTATCATCAAATGAAAAGTCACCAGGAAAGGAAATATAAAAGGTCCACAAGAGCTGGACTGGGGATCCCAACAAAGCCCTGATGTTTTTAATCAAGTTGAAAGTGAAAGTAAATGAGAAAGCTCTTGGCATTTGAGCTTTTATTCGAACATGATAAATGCCACAGGAGACAGAACAAAGTTCATCCAACCTGGAATTTGCTTTCTGAGGGAGCCAGGTAGGGTTTTGCAAAAACATCATGAAAATCTCTTCAAAGAAGAGGACCAGCATCAGACAGGCCTGAATTCACATCTGGACTCAGCCACTTATTGGCTCTGTGACTTTGGGCGAGTTATTTAAGCTTCCAAACTTACATGAAAAATTAATGTATGCCTACAGTGAAACAAACAAAACCTACACAAGATAGAGCAGAAAACAGATTCCCAGAGGCAATCACCATTACTCATTTCTTATGTATCTTCCAGAAATGGTCTATACAGGGCATGTACTACTTTGGAAATTTTCAAATTAAGATGTTTAAAAAATGTCACCTTGTTATTTTTCAAAAGGTTTGTATAGTCAGCAGCAAATATAAATAATAGTGATGACAAGACATTGTGCTTTATTTTGTAAATACTTTTTTTCATGATTAAAAAAACAAGCTTCACAGAGGCTTTTATGAGGGGACAAATGAGAGGGTCCAGTCTATTGCGGGGTATTTGGACCGTGCTCAATATCCATGGTGTCCCCCACAGTCTGAGTAACCATGTTGATTACCCGTATCACTGGTTTTACAACCTCTCTGACTGATAAACCTTGGCTTTTTCAAAACTGAAAGTAGAGGCTCAGTTTACCTTGGAAAGAACCAGTTAAGGAGCCAAAGAGGAAGCCCTCTGTAAAGAAAAGCCAACAGGGGCCCATGGCCGCCCAGCTGGTTCCAATCTCACACCCGAAGGAGGCAGTTCTGAAGAAACGCTCGGATTACAACCCAAAGGCGCACACTCCGGCATAAAGCTCTGGTCTGGAGCCATTGTCTGCCATTTATTCTCTGTGTGATTTAAGTTACTTAAACTCTTGGTGACTCAGTTTCCTCATCTGTTGAGATGCTGATAACCATCATATTTACATCGTAGTAGGATTTAAAAGTTAAATAACATAAAACACATAGCGTCTAAGGCACACTGAGTAGTCAAAAGAAGGTAGTTCTTAGGATTATTAAAAGCGACATGTAATGAGAACAAGTGAGTTAATGATGTGAAAGCGCTCTGTGACACCGCAAAACATTCTACAAACGTTGCTTGCTGATCCCTCTCCATGGTTTGATCCCACATTTATGGGGAAGTGCGGAGCGGCAAGTGAAGCTGACAGGCGCCAGGAAAAAGCCCGCAGCTCTCCGCTTCCAAGTCAAGCGCAGTTGCCGCGGACTGATTTACCCGGGCGGTGCCTCCCACGAATCCCCAGCTTCGGTCTCTACCAATTCACACACCGCAAACTCCGCGCCTTTGGAACCCGCCTACCCGCCTTCCCTTCCAGCAGGGCGGGAGGTCCCGCGAAAGAGCGGAAGAGACAGCCTCCCTCGCCCAAGTCGCCCTAAAGCTTATCTACGCGGCGAAGCTTTGTCCCGACCATCCGGCCCGGGCATGCCAGAGGTCTCCCCAACCCTTCACTCCCGGAGAGAGAAGAACAAATCTTGCGCCCTGCGCTTGTACTCCCACCGCTTCTCGGTCTCGAGACCGAACCCGGGGCTAGTCCCCGGGCAGGAAAGAGCACTCGGGAACCCGGAGTGTTACAGAGTTAGAGTGCCAAAGAGGGTTGGGGGCCGGGAGAAGGGCTAGCGGAGGAGGGCACACTCACGCGGTTCGGCGTCCAGGCTAGACAGACAGAACAGCCCAAGAAGGACCAAGGTCACCAGAGGAGCCATCCTCACCACAGCACAGCCCAACGTGCAAATGTGCCCCGGACTAGCGCTCCGCGTATATAAACCTAGGCCAGCACCTCCAATCAGAGCTCTGCGCGCATAAGGCCGTCACCCGTCTCCTAGCGGGCGATGCAGAATCAGGTTAGAAAAGGGACTTCCCATTTTTAGTTTCATTTTCCTATAAAGCCTCGTGATGCTTAACAAGGCATGGGTTGGTCCCGATGGGTTCGCTGTCTGTAAAACGGCGCCCTCCGATCTGGGGTGCTCCCAGAGGTTGAACTGCCTGTCCTAGAACTTAAGTCTGGACGTACCTTGGTCCACCGCCCTGGCTGGTCGAACCAGCCCTAGAGATGTTAAGTCACTTGCTTACCCTGCCTCAGCCAGTTAGGAGCCTGGAACGTGTGGTTTTCATTTGAAGAAAAAACCCCCACAAAAACTAAAGCCGGGAAAGATTAAGTTCGTGGACAGCGGATGAACGGTGCTGAGCAGAAGAACTGTTAATAATTACAATAAGGAATACACTGTAGGTTTCTGGATTTGAGGGAGCAAGAAAAATAGTCCAGGAACCTAAAGGACTCCCGCGGACTGCTCAGAGAACCGTCCAGAATAAACCAGAACATTCTTGCTCCCTGAATTCCTTCAGGGAAATGTTTCTTGTTGTAAAACTCTGTGCCAAAAAATTCTTCTCTGTATCTTCCTGCTGTTGTTTAGGTGATTTTCTTTGTTTTGTTGATTTGTGAGGGAAATGACCACTGATAGTAAAAGCAAGTAAGTGCTTTGAGCTTTTGAGTTTACAGACCCCCATTAGGTGCTTCATTCCCTGTGAGTTACCACACTAGAATGGTGCTTGGTGCGAAGTAGGTATTTGATAAACTGAACGAATGCATGAATAAACAAACGAGGGAGCGAATACTCCAGGAGTTGGGAATTGCCTCATTCATTTTTATGGATAGGGAAAACAGGCTAAGAGACTAGGATTCAAACTTTGGCCCTGAGGTCGCCAAGCTGAGGCTCGCCAGCCACATGTGACTCTTTGGGTATGTTCCATCTCAAAAGTTTGCCGATCCCTGGAAGAGCCAATCCTGTCCCTCGAAGTTTTATGAGACCTATAAAACAAAAGAATCACCATTATGTGAATAATATCCTTTAAAATTTTTATAAGTGAAACTATGATAGTTTTTTCATTTTCAATTTTATTTCAGAGCCACATGTACGAACCCAAAGAGCTGCAGTTTGCCGACCCCTGGAGCTCTTCCGTTTCAAGTTTGCTGACTCCTGCTCTGGCCTAATTCATACTTCCCAACACTTATAAGATAAACGGTGTGGCAGTTTTAGAGAAAATTTAAATTGCATCTGCCCTGGGCCCAGCCAAAGAAGTTAAACCTACTGATTATAAGACTGTGACAATATTAGATTCATTAAGAAAGCCTACACTCCGGAGATAGCATAGAAAAGATGCTGCCATCACATGGCAGCTGAGTCCACCAGTCTTCTCTGAGTGCACCAGTGAGAAGAGGAAGTAAATCACGGGGGCGGGGAGGAGCAGAGCTCTTGGAAATCACCATGGTTTTTCAGCCGAAGGTAGTTGGGTTGTGCTTCTTCCAGGAGCACAACAAATACCTTCTGGATTTCTTTAACAGATTTTTAGACCTTCAAATTCACCCTATTATGGAGGCCATGGCTAAACTAAGAAAAGTGGAATGTTCTCTACAGATCTAATGAAATGAGCTAATGCACAGAGAGAGCCTCACACAGTTCCTAGCACCTAGTGTCTATAATATTTAATAAGTGTACTGTAATTACTGTTATTTACCTAGTTTTTCTACCAGCTTTATAACTCTCTTGGAATATAGGAATAATTTTTATTCATAAAGTTATAAGTAGAGATATTCCTGCCCCTCCTGTTTGTTTGTATGTTTGTTTTAGAACTCATTTAAGGCTGTTAAGGGCTGAAATGTTAGTGTTAAATTATTTTCTACTGACTTGGCAGTATAGGAAGAGACTGGGCTATCTTTCACCTCTAAACTCCTGTTTACTACATCACAGAGAAAGACTATATTTAAAATTTATTAAAGATAGATTCTGACCAATTCACTTAGAAAACCAATTTAAAAGTAATAAAACAACACTGTGAAGAACAGAAAAGTATATTTCTCAATTTTCTGTGTTTAGGGAATTCCTGTATCTTTCTTGAATTTCCATTATAACATGTTTTGAACAGTGAGGGTGAAAATGAGATAGAAAACTATTCTTTTAAAACCAAGAGCACACTGCTTGCCTAATTTAAATCTACAAATACAGCAATTTAATAGCGTTATCTCCCAGTAGTGGGATTAACAGATGGATTCTTTCCCCCTATATAACTCTCCTAAAAAATATTTTTACAGTGAATGTTTATTCAAAACAGTAAATATTTTCAAGAATGAGGAAGAACTGGAATGCTCATATCCTCTGGGTGGGAACTGTGAACCTCAAGAAGGAATATATCTGCCAAAAAGGACTCCCCATGGTAATTGGGCCCGAATTTCTAACCAGAGCCTAGAAGCCCAGTTGCTGACAGAGGTCTCTCATGCATAGTACATTTCAGGGAAAAACCACAGACTGAGCTGCCAAGCCTCCTGCATTGTGTTCCTGCTGGCTATACCTACCCTTATAAAGGAGTTCCTGGAATCATCTTTCAACCAACGGGCTATTCCTGCCCCATCTAATTGGAACAGCACAACTATATCTTCATTTGCATATTTACTGACCAAGCAGAGCAATTCTATAACGACCAATCAGAACATGCAATTCTGACCAATTAGAACAGTGCTATTTGGACCAATCAGATTGTTCAGATTTGGATTCCTCATTTGCATATAAATGGACCAATCAGGAATGGCGCCGGAACTTTCTCTATAAAAGCTGGCCTTTCTTTTATCTCAATGGAGAGCACTTTTGGATTCCTCAGGCTGCTGCAAAGTTTTAGAATTGTTTACCTAAATAAAGTTTCTCCTTTAACTGCACCCCAGATTGGGCACCCCTGTTGGCATTAGATTGGTGGCAGTGACTTTTTGTTAACAGATTGTAAATGGTACAACTACTTTGGAAAACAGTTGGACCATTTTTTAAAAAGTTAAACATACACTGGCCGTATGATCCAGCCGCTCCACTTTAGGTATTTATCCAAGAGAAAATGAAAGCATATGTTTATACAAAGTCTTGTACACAAATGTTCATAGCAGCTTTATTTGTAATGGCCAAAATCTGGAAATAATCTAAACGTCCATCAACAGGTAAGTGGATTGTAGTATATATCCAATTGTAGTATATATCCAACAAATTGTAGTATATATCCATATAATGGAATACTATCAGCAATTAGAAATGAATGAACTGTTAATACATATAACAACATAGATGAAATAATTATGCTGAATGAAAGTAGCCAGACAAAAATGAATATATACTTTTTATATAAAATATTAACTCTTTATATAAAACTCTAGAAAAGGCAAAATAATCTATGTAACAGACAGCAAATGAGTAGTTTTCAGGAGCATTAAGAAACATGGAGGGTGATGGATATGTTCGTTACCTTGAATTTGAAGATGATTTCATGGGTGTATGTGTATATTAGAGGTTTTTAAATTGTACACTTTAAGTGTGATTCATTGTATGTCAATTGTACTTCAATAAAGCTGTTAAAAAATAATGCTATAAGCACAGATACCAGTATTATTGTTAGGCAAAAGAAGAATGAAGTACTTGAACAGAAAGAAAAGAAGGATATTGAAGTGGGGAGAAAATAGGAATAGGTTAAAGCGCATATGAATTGGGTTGCACCTGAGTGGGTCTCAGCAGCCTTCTCAGATGAACTCATCCAAACAGCCAGAAAATCAGGCCCATTTAAAAGGAGACAAACAAGCATAGGTAGGACATTTGTGACAGGGCTTCTTCAAATGTTATGCCATTAATCCCTTGCAATTCAAAATGTGATCCATGCATCACTAGCATCAGCACCACCTAGGAGCTCTTAGAAATACAGACGCATGGGCCCACCTCAGACCTACTAAATCAGAGTCTGAATTTTAACAATATCCCAGGTGATTCATAAACACATTAAATTAGTGAAGCTGCTGACCCAAGCTACACAACAATCTAGAACAGGGGTCAGCAAACTTTTGAGACAGAAGAGCCAATCCTGTCCCTCACAACAATTTAAAAATTATTCGAGAGCCATAAAACAAATGAAATCACCATTATGTGAATA